GCAAGTTCTCCCCCTGGTGCTGCCAGTTCAGCCTGGTAGGAGAAGTCAACCCAGACTTGCTGTCCCAATCCTTCCTTGGGAGTCACTGTAATATGTTCAAACAGAGCTCTCAGCAAGCAGGGTTGAATGGCAGGTCCCTCAGGACACAGATCACACAGACCTGTGGCAATAATGAAAATATGGATTAAATTCTCCCAGTGGTGTTACTGCAACATTAATACCATGGTATTATTTTTTATAATAACACAGTATTTGCTGAGGTAAACCACTTTGGAAATCCCACTGTATTTAGTAATGCTGTGTTTTTATCAGGAAATCACTTCTGCTCACCACCAAAGGCCTGCAAGTTGTTCTGTGTCGAAACACTTTAGGCTGCTTAGGTGTTTTTGTATCCAAATAAATTTTTACATGTATTCATGTTAGCAGATGAAAAAACTATGTGTATCTAATGGCAAAGTCAAGGCAAACAAATGCTTCCTTGTGTTCTGTCAACAGGCGCCAGCTGACAACTCTGTAAAAGACAAAGAGTCGGCTTTTTTTCTTGCAATACAGAGGCCGCATGAGCTAAGGCAGCAGGACAGAGCACATGTACATCTACAGAAATGTAAATAAATTAAGCATGTTTCATCTACTAATGATTACAATTGCAAAGAAGTAGGGACAACAGCCCCAAAATGGCACATGTTTTGTGGTGTTATTTTTGGGCATGCGAATTCCATGAAGACAAGGGCATGGATTGGTACATATACATTACCATCATAATCCTTTTCCTCTTACCTTCTAGTTTAAATACCAAAGGAGAGCTGCTGCATACAGACATCCTTTAAGGGAATTTAAGTGGTATCACAGATTTAACAGTAATTTTCAATACCTTTAACTCCATTTAAATTTTTTAAAGTTCTTTTGGGCTTGCATTTGGAATGTTTGCTCTTGGACAAAAAAGTGTGAGTAACCTTTGAACAAAATGTTATCCTGGCAATGGTGGGAAGGAGATTACTAATCTAAAATGTGTTATTCCTTTTGTACTATCCCTTTCATATAAAACAGACTACTAAAATAAAAGCCTTTAACGAAGTTGGATTTTAACTTCAGCAATTGCTTACCCTAAAGAGAACATTCTTGGCAGTTTCAATCTTTGAAAATTAGAGGTGTCAAAAAGCAGTCTTTATAGCAGTGCCTATTAAATCCAGCCAGATTTTGCTGTTAGAGTACGTACAAATGTCAGCAACAGTTAATTGTCAGCACGTTTCATTCTTCAGGACAATCCTTAAATGCTGAATGTCGACATGAACACATACCTGTTGGAATTCAGCTGCCATTAAATGCTATGTTCATTTGCATTCCTTAATATGAAATAAGCTGTTGCACTAATTCATTTCTTTTTTTCAGTTTGGCCATTTATAAATCCTTCAATACTCACTTTTCTTCTATGGCAGATAATGGTGTGGTAGCGCCAGTAACTTAGTTTTTAGCATATATATAAAGTGAGCACATGGAGGGTTTACTTTTTACAGTAAAAGGAGTATTCTCAAAAATCTCAAGCAAATAGAAGGTAACAACACTGCCAGGTCACAGTGAAAATGACTGAGAATTCAGGGAAAAAGTGAGATGCATCATCTCAACATCTCCTTCATTTTAAATGTGCCAAATATCAGGAGGGAAAATATTCACTAGGAAAATACTGACATTCACTAATAAGGAAGAAATCTGCGTCAAAAGTCACTACATGGGGTTGGAGGACATTGTGGGTCAGAGAATATTTAAATGAAGCCCTTGTGTATTTTGTGATTTTGGGCTTTATTCTCCTTGTAAAATGGACTCCAAGCTGCTCAAGCCATGCGCTTGCAAGGCCTGCGTTCCTGTGATTGCATAGAGAGCTGGAGGCAGGAGAGCAGTGCACCTGAATATGATTTAAGAGTACTTGTCAATAAAGTGGAGCTTGTTGGAACCAAGCTGGGGCTTGCACTCTACTGCAAAAACATCTGCAAGGAAGAATTGGGCAAAGCATTTTCAAAACTACACACGAGTTTGTCCTTGCCTCTGTCCTCTTGTCTTCTTTATACCTTAAGAACAAAGATAGTTTCTCACACAGAACAGTAAGTGAAGACAGATGACTCAGAGTTTTCCATTGTGGAACCCTCACCCCCCCAAGAAAAAAACATCTGTAGTAAAAAACTGGCTTCATTAGAGATAATAAAGAAAAAGGAAAGTCATCTAAGTTTAATATCCAGATTACATTCTTATTCAAGTGAGTTCTGAACCCAAGTACATGTTAGTCCACTCCACACCAAACCTGTCTGAATCTAAGTGGTGCAACACTCATAAATCTATAGGCAACCCAGTGTGAGAATAATATTGTTCATTTAACTTCAAATTCTGAAGTACAATAACTTAAATTATGCTTCTGTTTAGTCCTGTGACAATGGCTTCAGGCACTTTTCAGGGTTTGGTTGGTGAATTATTTGTTTGTTTCCAGCATACCTTTGCACAGGTTAAATCAACTATAGAGCCTCTCAGGCAGCCACCGAGTGCAATGTCAGACATTGCTTTCTTATGGCATCTACCAAAAGACATAGGGTTTCCAGAATTCCAGAGGTGAATTAGTCATACTTCTTATCCCAATGCATCATGAATCAGTTCCTTTCACTTTTTATATTATAGTGGGAGACACTTAATGCAACTAGATGATCTGTATATATTGGGAGCACTATAACCAGAGGCATCTGGCAGTTAAAGGTAGACTGAAGCTACAGTTGCTTTGGAGGAACATTTGATGGCAGCAGCTTTCAACAGTGGTATGGTTTCAGGACTTGCGATGTCAACAAAAGCAGACACCAAGAAATAGAGATGCCAACAAGTTATACAGAGCTTCGCATGTGGCTCTCATGCGGAACTGGCAGGTGCCCCCAGTTGGCAGCTGTTTCCATAGTGGTGGTATTCCCCTTTCCAAAACGTCTTCCCTCAGGGGAGGTCAGACTGGTTCTTCTACGTTTCTGCTAACCCCAGTCTTATCCAGGCAACCACTCAGATTAGGAGCCAGCACTTGCCCCTCCTCTAAGATGGAAAACCCCAGAGCAGCATACAGGCAACAGCCCCGCTAGAGGGTCTGCTAAGGGAGGACATGTTCATTCTAAAGGTATTTTCAAGGTGATAATGTGTATGACATTACTGCTTCGTGTTATCAGTCACATGGAAGGTTTTCTGGTCAGAACTCACAGAATGGTGGTGTTCTGCTTCCCTGTGCATCTGCCTTACGCAGGGAATGTTTCCTCAATGACATTGAGGGAGGTGGTAGGGTCCCCATCACTGGAGGTTTTCAAGGTGCGATTGGACAGGGTGCTAGATGACTTCATCTAGGCTCCCTTTCCCACAAGATGTTGGGAGCAGATGATCTGTTATGGTCCCTTCCAACCTGGGCTGTTCTATGATTTAGTGGTTGTAGTGGCAATGTATTAAAACGGGGGGGGGGGGGGGGGGGGAAGCTGTATCAAAGCTCCAGAACAAATGCTTTCCTGGTGGAATTTCTTGGATGAAAGTTTTACAGACTTGGGAGTACCCAAGTACAAGCTGCCCTTTCCTGGCAGCTTCTTTCCACATTCCCGTATTTCATCTTCATTTGGGACTTGCATTAACATTTACTGGAGGCAGCTGCAGGCTTGGGCGCACTGCAGGGATGTGTGTAGTCTGAGTGAATCCATGTACCTGCTCCAATTTATGCATTACAACAGGCCCCCCAGCAGAAGCAGTGTTTAAACTGGAAGTTATTATCCAGTTACAGCAAAAGCCAGAAGCAGAAACTGTGAAGTGCCTACAATGCTTGAGGTGAATAAACCATCTGTCAAACAGGCTGACTCCTGCTTGAGGAACAGTGACTTACTGCCATTTGAAATGCTGGTTAATAAAACTTAAAAAGGGTCTGAGTGGGGCCCAAAGCACTGTTGGGGGAACATGGGTACAACAAATCCTGCTTACAAACCTGAGGTGCCCAATCCTAACAGCTTTTAATATATCAGTCTATTGCCACATTTATCCAGTGCCCAAACCAGGATCTGTAAAACAGCAACAGTAATTCAAGATGTTTCAGCCCCTTACTGTTAGAAACTAAGTCTTCAGAACTGTTTACGTATCACTGACAGTTATTTGCTAAGGGTACTGATGGCTGGGAAGCAAAAGGAATATTTAAGTGTTTAAAGAATGGAATTATATTTACTTATTGCAGTGACCTGTTTTGTACCTTCAAATCTGTCAATGTCCTTGGTTTTCTTCTAGCTCTTTTTCATCACCTTCCCTTTTACTTCCTGCGTTTTCTGCCTTTCCAAGTAACACATGGACAGGTGGCATCCCTGTCTGTCCCTTTCTGAGCTCAGGAACTGCTCTTAGTGACACACACCAAGTTACAGGCAGTTTGTCACATCCTAGAACCTATTTCCTGTATCCTGCCCCCCCCCCCAACAGTTTTACAGCTGCTAAAGAGTTAAATGTACCAATATTCACATATGCTATACTCCACTCAGTATAACGTACCTGGAGCTTAGGCTGTCCTTTTCACAATTCAAGAGCACTCAGATCTTTCTAAATACAGGAGCCTGATGAGTGGGAGTTTCAAAAGTAACTCAAGCATCATCCTCAAGTCATGACAAGTAAAAAACAATAGCTTTGAAGGTTGTACCTGCAGGAATTCATTTGTTCAGATCATATTCATTCATATGTTAACAAATCAAAGCATTTCATGCTACTGTGAGTTTAAAATCCCAGATGTCTTCTCACTACAGCAAACTGTTTTTCAAATGAGACTCACATTAAATAGTGAAAAGTTTCAGTGTTAGAAAGCAGACTTTGTTCCAGGAAATAAAAGAATATAAAACCAACGCATTTAATGGAAAGAAAAAGTATCTTACAAAAACGTCTTAATTCCAGAGATCACAACAGTAGTAATAAAACCTTAAAAGACAACTAAGACAGTGTTTATTCAGAAGCAGCATAAATCCAGACAACACATGAAAATCTCAAGTGTTTATTGTTACACTTCAAGTGCATATATTTCTTTACAATTTTGTGCCTTTCCAAAGGAACAGACATACAGCAGCCACAAAATTTGTTCTTTTCAGAAAGCTTTTACTAGCTTGAAATCTCATCTTTATAACAGGATAATACAGTGAACTAGTTCCAGTGATAAATTCCAGATTTATATAGACCAGATCTGTGAAAGAGTAAACTCAACATGGCAGTTTTTAATATTGCCACAAAGGGTGACAAAATACACAATTCAACTGAGTTCAGACAGGCAACAGACACAAGACATTCATTAAAAACAATCAAGTGTTTAATACAAAATACTCAGCTAAAGATAATTAAAGATAAAAAGAAAATGCTTTTCACAAGTAAACAGCATGGGCCCTATCTTCCGACGTCAACAATGACATGTTATTATGTGGGTACCTCCAAGGTTTAAATACAATGTGTGCAGGCTAAATTACTTCCACCTCTTCTATAAAGTAATGATGGGAGATGGAATCACCCAACACAGAAGTCTGAGTACCAGAAGTTAAACTCCCATTTTTAAATGGCTTGTGAGACTTTCCCCATTCACTACAAGGATACCTCTGTAGCTTCTTTGGCTGAGGCCACCGACTCTGAATAGCAATCCCAAACAAAATGGAAACACTTCCACTGCTGAGAAAGAACCAAAGAGGACAGTTTGGTCAGAATGCTAAACATTATGGAACAATTCTAAGCTTATGAACAAAATGCTCTAAGGAGATGAACGTGAATTCACAATTGTAATCTTTAATTTAGTAAGTAATACAGTATTGACAATGTTCATAAATATCATTAGTTTTGAAATAAAGACTTCAAAAAAGGCACAAATATATTATTCTGGAACAACTAATGAGTTTTTATTTCAGATTCTAAATTTAAATTTTAAATTTAGTCTTTTGCTGCAAACATTATGTAGTGGCATCACTTTTACCAACCCTATTCCCAGGGAAGCGGAGATAGTACCAGAATGCAGAATAGGCAACAAGGCTTATTCTCTCCCTCAGTATTTCCATAAAACTTTACATACTGTAGATTATGGCAAATGCCAGATTCCAGCCATTTCACCTGTGTTACCATTGCATACATAAAGTTGCAGTGTACTTGGTGGACAATAGCCACAATGCCCCATCACACTGACTGATGTTGATTAGACTTCTATTTGCACCTCGAATTGCATTCAATTTTGGGCCCCTCATTACAAGAAAGACACTGAGGTGCTGAAGTAGCTCCAGAAAAGGGCAACAAATCTGGAGAACGGTATGAGGAGCAGCTGAGCAAACTAGGGGTGTTTAGTATGGAGAAAGGAGGCTGAAGGGGGGACCTTATCACCCTCTACAGCTACCTGAAAGGAGGTTGTAGTGAGCTGGCGGTCAGTCTCTTCTCCCAAGAAACAAGTGACAGGATAAGAGGTAACATCCTCAAGCTGTGCCAGGGGAGGTTTACACTGGACATTGGGAAAAATTTATTTACCGAAGGCAGGATCAGGTGTTGGAACAGGCTGCCCAGGGCAGTGGTGGGATCACCATCTCTGGAGGTGTTCACAAACCATGTAGATGAGGCCCTCAGTGACATGGCTTAGTGATGGACTTGGCAGTCCTGGGGTAATGGCTGGATTTGATGATCTTAAAGGTATTTTCCATCCTAGTTGATTCTATGATTCCAGCTTCTTGTCCTTCCAGATGATGGGGACTGGAGAGAAGAGACTCCAACATTTCAGTTCCATGGGGATAAAGAAATGCTTCACCTCACTTGGCAACGATCTGCATTCATCTCAAGAGCATCAAGAGCGTATTGGCAAAACCCTTTCCTTCCCCTGAGAAACACCAATTGCAATATGAAGCTTACAGCCTTAGTAAGTTGAGACGGAAAGTCCTTTGGATCTCTGAAAGTTTCAGATCCCTCTCTTCAAGAAGGATTCAAAGAGGACTTGGGAGTCTTTGTGTAAAACTGAACGTAAAGAAATCACATGCAGAAAACCTTAAACCATTTCAACGCCTGGGCCAGAAACACCACGCCATACCTGGGAGAACCAAAGCAATGATTATAGAAGAAAAAAGATTTACTGCGTTATTGTCCAATATGGGTTTTCCAGATATGTGCTTCGAGTCTTTTGTTTGGTGGTTGACAACCATGCCAATATTCTGGTCAAAACCTGGGGAAAGATAAAAGACTTCATTTTACAAAGCCAACCAAGCTGAAAAGAAACTTAGTAACCAAATGTATGCAACTTCATAAATTTAGTTTACCATTATTTGTTAAACCTCTGTAAGAAAAGACAGCAACAGACTAAATTAAATCATAGTTAGTTTAATCTTGTAGCTTCAAAGACTGGAATATAAATACAATATTTTGTGTTAGAAGTTATTTCTTTTGCAAAGTTACACTTTTGCCAGGTCTACTTCTCTATGTAGTTTCATAGCTAAGAAAGGAATAGAGTGAGCTGAATCAGGACTAAGTTGTTCTAAGGCACTGGATGCTCGTTTCAACCAAACAGAAACAACTGATTAGCCACACGTATTTCCTGTCACGAAGATGTATTTGTTTTAAAGTAAAATTATGGAAATAACATTATTATTTGATCTGTCAGAAAACAAGCTTCTTATGGAATATGAATTTATCATTTCTACTTACATAGCAGTTTTATACTACCAGCAGCTGGTTTTTTTTTTCCTGGTACTTAAGCCATTTCTTGCTCTACCTCTGTATTATCAGTACTCTAGTACTGTATTTCATTAGCTGTTACTGTACACAGTTAGCCTATCTTCTGTCCAGCTGCATTACTTTCTAAGCTGATCAAAGTGTAAAATTCTAGCATGGCTGATTTTAATGCCAACTCAAGCTGTAATGAAGCATGTAAGTGGGTATGTATGTCCATGTGCACACCTTTAAGGATGACACAAAGAAACATTCCAAAATAAATAAATGTATTTTATATTAACATTATTTCCTCTTCTCTGTAAACCCCACAACATGGAAATTTCAGTTTGAACTGCAGCTTTGTGACAAAAAGATTTTCAGCACCTCAGACAAAACTTAAAAAACCCCACAGCACGAACCTGCCTGGCAGGTATATAGATGCTATTACTTTTACCTTTGAATCACGTTTTTAAACCTAGCTTTGGATAATGCAAAAAAGCTACAGAAAAATTCAGCTTCAAAGCCTGATAGTTTAACTCTTAACAATTGCTATGTTTTAGGAAGTTGTAAGTTTTCTTGAGAGAAAAACTGGGAATAAATTTTTATAAATATATACTTCAAATGCACATAAAGCATAGACTGAGAGAATTAACAAGTACTAGGAAAGGTAACAGTAATTCCTTCTATTCCTTTTGTTATTTACAGAATAGGTCTGGCCTCAGACTGATACCACAGGAAAATTTTAACGTAATTCTGTGCAGCTATTCAAAGTTTTACTTAATAAATGTGTGGGCAGGGAAGGACTTTCACCTAGAAACTGGCTATCACAGTATATTACACAAACCAAATCTAGGAGGATTACCAACAAGAAAAACATTGGCAAAAGGGATTAGCAGTGGCAGCATAATACTTTCAAAAGAACACACAATTCTTTATTACCACTGCTGTATTTATTGTTTTTCAAGATGCTGCAGAGAGACCGGAGTATTTCTTATGAGACCACACTGAACGGGGATTGGAAAAGCAGGCTGAAGTAGGGAGGAACACGAAACCTAACAGCGTGTACCACAGGAGCAGCACTATTTCATTTATATCACAGCATATATATACATACACACACACCATAGTGTATATCCATATATAACATAGATACTGCAGCAGTACTTATGAACTTGTAAAAGAAACTCTGGAACTTGCATACTGTTCCTGCTGTGGCTAGCAAAATAAGTTGCTGAGCATGGAAAAATATCTGAAGTGAAGAATAAATAAATGCTGATAAATGCTGGCATGCATTAGCTAGGTTTACCACATACTCTTAATGCATCTGCATCATTAGAAGCATGAAACATCGTCCAAGTGCTTAAGTGCGTCTTCTTTAGTACAGAAATTTCTAGAAATTCCTCAAATGGTTAAACACTCAATTCCATTTTAGGCTTTCTTGGAAACAGAAGGTCTAAACAGACTACAAGAAATAGAGCATAAAAACTGCTGGAAAGCCAAATCCACAGCATCAGCAACAGACTGCAGTTCTCATTGTGATGACAGACTTAAACGACTTGGATCTTTCAGGCAGGTCATCTGTACCTTCAAACCTCGACTTCCAACAAGTAAGTAGATAAGAATTCTCTCTGCAACCAGCTATTAAACAGAATAGCATCACATATAGTCTTTAAACAACTTTTCAGCAGTTTACAGTTTAGCCTAAAGGTTGTCTGTAGTTTTTATTCACAAAGATCCTTAGAGGCAATGAGTAAAATACTGAAATCATTTAGACTCAGCCAGCCAAGAAGGTTTTTAAAAATGAACATGATTTTTTAGTTAAAGTCACAGCTGGTTTGTCATGAACTTAACTTACAGGAAACAGTACTCTAGAAGCAGTGAAAACTTAAATTGTGGGCACATGTTCCTGGAGCTTTTCTTATGTAATTCTTAAAGCTGACACTATTGCTGCCTTCAGAATTAGAACTCAAGCTTCTGCAGTGACAACTGATTTGGGTAAATGGATAAAATTAAGCTGACGTTTTCTCATATGTTACCATAATTAGACCTATAGAAAACTAGAGGGCAGCAATTGCTTTCTGCAAGTTAACATGTTGCAGATCTCTGTTCTCTTTCAGTAATCAACAAGACAGTAACATAATATACACAAATAAAAATATGGAAAAGAACCAGCTGCCCTTGCTCTTGTTTTCATTATCATGTCCATCACTTTGGCTCCCTTTATCCTTTGTGTTGCTAATTCTGTATTTTCTCCATATAAAAATCATGTCCTCAGTCCTTCTGGAAATTCCAAGTCCATTTTGAGGTTACACTGAAGCGGGGTTAAAAAAAAGAATAATCTTACCGCTGTATTGCATTGTAGCTCCCAAATAGGAATCCACAATTGATCCCAGTAAGCCAGCTGCTGCAGCAAACACAATAATGGGCCATTGTGGAGCAGATACTTCCAGATCAGACACGAAAATGAGTTGTGTGATGAAGTAGGCTATACCTACTACCATGCCGCCAAGCAAACTTGACAGCAGGCCCACAAAAGTAATTGCTCCATTAGTACCTGAAACAAACAAAACCAAGCTGATTCACCAACTTTTCCTTGAAGCCTTGCATTTGTTCAGATGTTTTATATGAAATCAAAACTGTGTTCATAGTGATCTTCCCCCCCTTATATCCACAAGCAAAAAAACCCCAATAAAATTACCATGCACTCAAATCCTATCCCACAAGGTGTACAACTCGGATCAACATGCCAACAAGACCCAAAAAAAGACACACTGCTTTAAGGCAGCAATGTCATCCACTGTTTAGACAAGGCCTGACAGACAGAAGGGTCACTTTGCCCATCCTTGGTAAGATACCAAAGGAAATGAGTGATGTAGTTAAGTGAATTTTCTGTGGCATCTGTATTGAATATATATATTCTTCTACTGATTAAAATTTTCATGTCTAAAAAACTGAGTTGTAAACTTGTATTCTTTATATTTTTGGCAATATAAAGACTTTTATTAGTGCCAGAAATGAGAACTGACAGCACTCACTAAGAATGATTTTAGCTCCCACCAACAAGAAGCAGCAGAAACACAACCGAGTATATTCCATTTCAGCAAATGCGTTCCTCCTAATCTTTTCTAATCCCGGATTTCTGATGCTTGGGGTTTTTTGAGTTAGTTTTTTTTTTTTTTAATTTTCAAGTCAGATGCATAGTTCTAAGCAGATTAGCATAAGAACATGAAGAACAGGTAACACCTTACCCACTGGAACCTTTTCCCAGGTTGTTATCAACCTTGGCTTGCTTTTACTCATAACACTACCAATCTCTGAAGCCCATGTATCACCAGCAGAGCATGCCAAAGCTCCCAAAAGGGATAAGCACATCCATGATGCTGTGTATTGCTTTGAAAAGTCTATAGGAATTTCACCCGGTCCATTTTCTATCATATATAAGAGAGCCAGCTCAGTAGGAACACCACCGTTACACAATACTTGCAACCAGTTCCTCTGTCCACCTAAAGTGACAAAAACCAAGATTAGTATTTTCAGGCAAAATACCCTGGACAGACAACAGCATGAGACAAAAGCAAAATACACACATATAAAGTTAAAATTAAAAAAAAAAATTTAGAACCAGACACTAGATAGCAATTTATTAAATAGAACAGAAGCAAAAGCAAAGTCACTTGCTAACGATCATATTGATGGAGTTGGAGAGGAGGCACAACAACAGTGTGCCTTATTTTGGAGATTACATCTCATCTACCCCTTCGAAAGAAAGAGGAATATATAGTGTTTATTCTTCACAAGGAATCTGGAAGAATTTAAAAGTTATGGCTTACCTTCTTTGTATTCTGAATCTATTTGCTTCTTTATATCCTTTTTCCATTTAGTAAGTTTTGAAGAAGTAACAAAAAATACAAACAAAGAGGTGAAGAAACTGTAATTTGCAACTGTAAGGATAAATCCAACCACCAATCCTATGGGAAAAAAAAAGCATATAAAATCCTTTCATGTAACACTTTGCAAAGTGTTTTGAATCTCTTGAATACAAAAAGTATGATAAACTTCAATCATGCAAGAAGAGAATTACTGAAACATCTAATACCTGTATAATAATTCCAAAGACATCTTGACTGAAAAATAAAAAACCCGGTTATTTTTGCAATTTTCCCTTAAGTTTTATTGCCAAATTGCTAGTTCTATTGCTAAAGTATGTGATCTTTTAAGACCTTCTCTTGACACAAATTAGTAATACTGTGCAAAAATAAAAAACAGATAAATAAATAAATAAATAAAAGCCTAAGGTTATATAATTCAAACTGAAGTACTCTGCTTAAGAATAGGATTATTTGTGTAAAAAGCATATACAGAGCTGTGGCTGTGTCTCTATCAGCAAATTTATCTTCTGGTCTCTAAGATAACCTGAATAATCCTCTTCCGTATCATAACAGATGCTACTTGTCCTTTCTGTTCCTCATTTTCTTTTTCCGTTTTTGATTTTAAGCCATCTTTTTCCTTCTGTAAGTATTTAAGCTCCTGGGTGTAATTCTGCTTTATCTCCTCTTTCACAGGGGAGGACTAATTCCTACTGCCCACCATGAGTTAAAAATTCTTTGCAAATGAAAGAAAACTGCCTGCACATAAAACAAATGCCAGCATAAACTGCCTAGCAGAGCTGTTAACGTTAACAGGCAGAAACAGCAGAAGAGAAAAGATGGCTTTTCTTAATTTAGAAAATGCTCCCATCAATGCACAGACAGATCAAGACTAGCAAAATGGTGACATGGGAGGAAAAGGTTTGACCTCCTGTTTCCTTCCATTGACCATCAATCCAGACAACATCAGAATACAAGGGTGAATCACATCACCCAGAAATATTGCATCAGATTTCAACAAACACTACTGTACACTACATTGAGTTTTTTTTAATAACATCATTAAGAAAAATTTTGTTGATATGGTAATTTGTTTGAAGTACAGATTTCATTCTCTTGGAAGGCCAAAAAATGTCTAGAACTGCTCATATTACAGAAAGGAGAACCACAGTATCTTTACTGGTTTCCTACCAGGCACATAGGCTACTGACATGGCTCAGTTTCATGGTATTTCTTTACCAATCACTCTTGCCATTTCTTTATTTCACATGAATTTATCTGTATGTTAAACCAAAACATGCAATTTAACTGCATGCTATACTGAAGTTTACAAGAATCTTCTGGGTTCATGTAAGTCTAAAGACAATATAATCAAATGAATTACAAACAGCAGCAAAAAACTACTTAAACAGGCATGAGGAAAAAAATCAGTATGAATTTAAGGTACATATGCTTACATTTACACTTCTATTATAATAGAACTAGGTAGTAAAGTCTTAAAAGACTATTATGTACAATACAAAGAGCCTTAGTTTACTAAATGTTTAGCTTAGCAGTCTCACAAAAAACGTACCTCCCAATGCACCACTGTGATCAAGACTCTTCTTCTTAAAACCCTGTGTAGCAATTGTTAGTGGAACCAAGATTGAAAAAAGCCAGCGCCATGGAGAAATGGGTCGTAAAGTACCTGATAAATCAAATAAAATGGTTACATATGATCCTTACAAGCCTTTTTAAAGCCTTTATATATGAAAAGTCATTATCTTCTAGTATATGTTTAAAAAATGATCTTAGAGATTAAAACTTTTTACCCATGGTAACCAAGCTCTTGAGTCCCTCTCCCCACCACAGGAGGGCGTCTCCTCAACAGGCCCTCAGGACGTGAGAACCCATTTGTTATCTTTTACAATAGTTGTTCCTATGACTTTATTAACTCTTTTCACCAAAAGGGCTAGTCCTAGAAACGTTTAAAGGCAACTAGGAATACTGAAAAAAAAAAAGCTTATTTCAGCAAGCCATCATTCTCCAAACCATAATTTTTAATAAAGAACATTAATACACTATACATTTTGTATTTAAGGAAAGGTAGCCACATGACATACAAATCAAGTGTTATATAGTCTGGTTTCCACCTCAGTATTTATGCTCAAGTGAGCCTGAAGAAATTTAATGCAGTTCTTGTCCTGTCTGTTTCTGCAGAAAATTTGGCTTAGCTGAGAATTCACAGATGATTTAGACTTCTTAGTCTTTGCTTTGCATAGGCCCTCTCTACCATACATGCATGCAACCCTTTCCCAACCTGGCAGCCCATCTTCATAGAATCACAGAATAGTTAGGGTTGGAAAGGACCTTAACATCATCTAGTTCCAACCCCCCTGCCATGGGCAGGGACACCTCACACTACACTATGTCACCCAAGGCTCTGTCCAACCTGGCCTTGAACACTGCCAGGGATGAAGCATTCACAACTTCCCTGGGCAACCCATTCCAGTACCTCACCACTGTCACGGTAAAGAACTTCTTCCTTATGTCCAATCTAGACTTCCCCTGTTAAGTTTTAACCCATTACCCCTTGTTCTATCACTACAGTCCCTAATGAAGAGTCCCTCCCCAGCATCCTTACAGGCCCCCTTCAGATACTGGAAGGCTGCTATGAAGTCTCCATGCAGCCTTCTCTTCTCCAGGCTGAACAGCCCCAACTTTCTCAGCCTGTCTTCATCTTGATCTGGAGCATCATAGAGACTTGTTGAAAAGCAAGCTGCACCCAACAGTTTTACGTCTTGTAATATGTATTTACTCCCAAATTTTTTTTTCTTCTCTTAGGATTTTCTAAAATAATCCTTTTCCACTTCTACATTCCACTGTCCTCCCTGTTATGTTTTCCTCAGTTCTATCTAGAACAGCACGACCAGATTGAGTGACAACAGAATTTCTTTTTGTTTGCACAACACGTTGGCATGAGAAATTATTTTCTTCATGGCATACAGTGTAAACTGAAAGCACATATTTAAGCTAAGAGATAGCCTTCTTTCTCTACATGTTAATGTGCCCCACATAGTGGGGGAATCCTTTCCACTGATTTTTCTTCTCTGACAGCGGCTGCAATCTGTGCCAGCGCCACACCACCCTCACAGTAAAAGATTTCTTCTTGGTATCTAAACTAAACCTACCCTCTTCCAGCTCAAAACCATTCCCCCTTGTCCTGTCACGACATGCCTTTGTGAAAAGTCCCTCTCCAGACTTCTTGTAGGCCCTCTTCAGGTAGAGGAAGACTGCTCTAAAGTCTCCCCAGAACCTTTTCTTCTCCAGGCTTACCAACTCCAGGAGAGGTGTGCCTGCCCTCCAGTCATCTCTGTGGCCCTCCTCTAGACTCGCTCCAACAGCTTCACATCCTTCTCATGTTGGAGACCTCAGAATTGACCTTCTTGCTCTATAACTGCTTTTAAAAAAGGGAAGATTTGTCTGCAGTCTCCTTCTCAGTATCAGGAGATACCTGATACATCTGATTCACCTGCTGGAGTGAGTCCCAAGGAGGCCCACAAAGATTTACCAGACCTCTCCACTTTCTGCTGTCAATTCTCAATCATATTATATAGCAAGGACTGGAATATCCTAGTTAGCAGAAGAACACAGAGAGCTATACCTATAGAGCTGATAAACACAATGTTGCATGTTTCAGTCCAACTTGGCTAGCTCTAAATGAGACAAACTGCTTGCTTCTGCATGACTTCTATGTGTCTGGCATCTCTCTAAAAGCCAACGTAGAAGTGTCCAGACAACACAGATTTAATGCTATACCAGGACTAATACACCATTCTAAAACCTGAAGCACTGAAAAACACTGAGCAGAGACATCCAGCTGCCACTGCAAAAGTCAGCTTATACTAGTGGGATATTTATTCTAGCTGGATATATTGTGGATCCAAGGTGACACTAGGCAGCTGAGAGTCTTCACACTGCATCCCTAGGTACTCTCACCAATACTGCACTGACATTGGAGCTGAGCATTTCCTGCATGAAACTGGCAGAAGTCCTAAGAACAGGTCTTTCCTTGTCTTAGGAAAGCAGTCAAACTCTTCTAGGTTTGCACTGATGTGAAGGCAGTACTGCTGCTTTTCCACACTGCTGTAAAAATGGTCCTAGAACTGAGAGTACAGAAAGTACTAATGTCCCTGCAATTACACACAACTAAGTCACAGCCTGAGCTATCACTGAATCACAGAATCATTTGGGTTAGAAGGGACCTTGAAGCTCATCCAGTTCCAACCCCACTGCCACGGCCAGAGACACCTTCCACTAGACCACCTTTTCAACGCCCTTTGCAACCCGGCTTTGAACACGGCCACAAATGGAGCACCCACAGCTTCCCTGGGCAGCCTGTGCTAGTGCCTCACCACCCTCACAGGGAAGAACTTCGAATATTTGCTTTCTTTCAGGAAAATAAATTATAAAGGATACCAACATTTTACATTCAACGGGATCCCTAGGCAGTGTACCCAGAAGGGCACATTGGCCATTAACACCTTATAAACCATCGGCAGCTACTGTCAGGGCTTTCAGCTCTGCTGAGGCCGAAAGGAGCTCTGCAACCCCTCTTCCAACGCCGTACCCCCAGTCTGCAGGGGCTCCGCTCGCCCCTCGCCGTGTCACCTCCTCAGCCCCCACCCGGCCTTTGCACTCACCGTAGTACGTACTTGCGGTCATGGACACGATCCAGAACACCAGAGAAATACAAATGAGCGCGTTCAGGATGATAATATTCGCCATCATCTTGAGGTACTCTTTGAAGAAATCCTCCTCGCAATAGGACATAGGAATCCAAAAAGAGAACACCTGGAGGGGAAGCACGGGGCGCACCGCATCAGCCACACCGCTATCTCCTCCTTCTGATCCTGCTCCTGCCCGGCACGAGCCGCGGCCCGAAGCGGCACGCACCACCCCCGAGGCCGCCTCTGTTCCCGCACACCTCGGGGAGCCACTGGGAGGCACCGACCCGTTCATGGGGAGGCGGACGTTAGGGGTCGAGCTGCGAGGCGCTGTGCGACTGATAGGCCCCGGCCCTTCCTCCTTCCCTCCCATCACCTATATCGGCCACAGACCTGCTCCCGCGGCCCGCCGGCGCCGCCACCATTCCGCCCCGCCACCCCTCTGCGCATGCTCCGCGAACTGCACGGTGGCGGGGAAGGAGGGAGGGAGGGAGGAGGCGGTCCCGGTCCTGCAAGCACTCAACAGGCCTCGGGACGGAGCTGTGGTATCGGTCATCCACCCACAGCCTTTCCCAGCCCTAATGGGTTCCCGGGTACCGATCCTCTGCGAGACCGGCGTCTGCCTGTCGCAACCCCCGGTCCTTGTTAAGCGTGCCTCCTCTGTGGTAAACGGTAATGCGTGAGCCAGCCGCTGTCTCCGGGCTCGTGGGCCCACGGCTTGCCTCTGCACCAGGGCGTCTAGTGCCTTGCACGGTGGGCTCGAATGACGACCAATGGAAAAAACACTAGTTAAAGATAAATCAACTTTGTCAAATAGCGTTTGTGTAATAAACCTAGGCATGAAAAGTATGAAGTGAGTTGGTAATTAGTGATACCCGTGAGTATCTGGATGAGGTTTGAAACTTGCTGGAGCATTGCAGAGTTCATTAACAGGACAAGAAGGAGACTTGAAACATCTCTTGAAGTTCACATGGGATGTAAACAAGCCAAACCTGCCTGGTAGGTTTTCATTGGGCATGCCAGAATTACTCTCAAAACACTCGACTGTAAATAATGTATCCCAAGTTACTAGAAGGACTCCAAAGCTCTGTGTGTATCAGAGGCTTTGTTACCAAAGCAAAGAGATGAGAAACTCCACTTCTCAAAACTCCTCTGTTCACTTTGAGGCAGCTGCCTATAAACTAAACTACTTCAGACATCACAGAAGGTAATTCTGAAGTAGCATTTATATATTAAACATTTGTTATGTGGAAGGTAGACCCAAACCCTTCAAGTTTACAAACATGGGTTCAGATGAGCCACCTCATGAACATCAGTAACCTTGGGTGCCATTTGTTATGGCCTTGTAGCAGCAGCAGAATAGAATATTTAAGTATTCAATGACAGACAGAGTAATAGGAAAACGTGAATTAAAAGTTCTTTTGCATACAACAAGAGTAGCTTTTAAGCTTAAAAATTCAAATGAATAATCGTAGTTTAAGAGTTGGCAATTTCCCTGCTGATTTGAAGCCAATTTCTTGCGTGTTGGCACCTGTTCATCTTTCAAGCATGTTCCATTATTTTTCATTCGGGATCTGGAGTAAGTTTCTAACAGGGTGTGAACACAGCTAGGTTGTGGATTCTTTTGCAACAGAAACTTAAGATATATTTTTGTATAGCTGTGAAAGAAATAGTTCACAGCTGCTTCTTCAGATGTTGTCTAAAATAGGGACCATGTTCTACAGAGATTTGCAGATACTTGGTTTTACTTGAAGACAGCAGGCTTATTCCACAGGTTAAAGGTAACACTTGGGTGTTTACAGTGTGTTGGCTCCAGCCAATTGGAGCCAAAATTTGAACCAGATGCCTTAGGCAAGGGTGTAGAGGCTTTATTTTATTTTCTGCTGTATTTATTGATAATAAAGACTGGGAACACCCAAATTTTCTCTGAACTGGAAATCCCCAAAACATTAATACTGATACCGGGAAATAAAGGGTTAACATTGTGCCTGCTTGCTTAAGCAGTCGCTGTGTTTGGTGAAGCAGAATTGTAGGAGTTACAGCTGCTAGGCAGAATTGTAGTAGATAAGATTCATAGCTTAATATTTAAGACATTCTTGTTCAAACGGTATCTTTAGAAAGAAAAGGAACAAAAGATAGCCAGAGTAACAAAATTTACAAACTTGACAAGTTTCTGCTTTAAGATACATAAAACTGGCTTGTACCAAACCCGAGGTTTGGACAGGAGCTGAAACCCTATTGAGTCTGCATGAAACCAAGAGGTTACTTGCAGTGATGAAGAGGAACTACAGGCCTTCATCCTCACGACCCCCTAATGACCACCACCAGGAGGCACTGCGCAGGCACACAAATGGGACGAATGCCAGAAAACTAATTATAATAGTAGACGGGAATAGGTTTTGCATAGGTATTAGGCGTGAAGCAGTCTCATGTTTAGGTAATCATTGTATGTAATATAAACGAACTGAGTGGCAAAGGGGGGCGCGCATGCTTTTGGAGGAGAAACCCCCATGCGCCTCAGCGCTGAATAAAGCATACCTACTTTACAACTCTAACGAGTTATGGAGTCAATCCGCGTATCAATGTAGCAGGACTTACTTTGGTATACCTGGTGTTCCTTCCTAGCTCCCAACTTTTCAGTCTATCTGAGATCTGGATTTGAAATTGTAAAAGTCAGGGGCTCAGCAACTGGTCCGCTTTGTAAGAATAGGACACCTTTTAAAGGATAACCCTGATAACGACACTGCTTAGATGCTCCTGCCAAAATCTAAGTAAACAAATTTTTCTACCAGAACAAGATACTTCTACTTTGACTGGTGGCTGAACAAATAGCTGCTTGTTTAGGTGTAACCAACTCCCAAAAATCTATTAATTCAAATACACTCTTAACTGAAATTAATTATTTAATTTATTGCTTATTTTTTGTTTTCTAAACTGTAATAGACTGATACTGGATTTTCTGGTGGACAAACAAAGATTCCTGCAGGAATCATAAACCCCTGGCTGATACCTGTGGGACTGTACATGTGGGACCATGATTAATGGTAACACAGAAGCTGGTACGACAAGGGGACAGGTTTGTGGCACTCTAAAGGATCCTTCACCTTCCTTCACGGATAGGTAGCACTTGCACTGATTTAGAGACATGCCAGACTATTACACTGGCTTATCCACAAACCTTACATCTTGGCTCAAAGCCACAGACGCTGCTCCTGGAGCTTACATGAGAAAGAAAAGCAAAGAGTATACTGCTCTTGGTGCCTGGAGTGAGAAAGGTGGTTCTAGTCATGAAACCTGTAGCAACCACTGTGAATAATGTTGGCTTTGATTCCTCTTTTAGCTCTGAGTCTTTTGCTATATGCGCTTTACCTCTTTTGCTTTTTCTGTATGTGGCTTCATACATCCCTCTTTCATTTTTTTCTATTATATGGAGCCAACAAGTTTTCCTGCAGCCACTTGGTACACATGGGATGTTACAAGAAGATTTGGAAATGAAAAAGAAAGAAGCCCAAAGTTGGATTTCTTTCCACTTTTAGAAACTGAAAGAAGTTGACACATTTTTGAAAGGAACATCTACAGCAGTTACTGTCATTGGCCCAAATACTACGTTTAAAGTCCTCTTTTCTAGATGTTGCCCTTTGTTTTTACTAAGTCCTGCAATAATGATTAACAATAAAATCACAACACTTTCAATGGGCAAATGTGTTGTTTGGGAGGTTTTTTTAATTTAAATTAAGAACCCATCTAGATGTGTACAGTATCATGAATTCAGAATTCATGTACTTAAAATGCCATCTTGATCAGTAAGAACAGTATTGTATTATATATGCAATGCATACATTTAATAAATAGTTTTTGCTTATTAAAAAACACATTCCCAATTCATACCTAATAATTTTGATAAGCTTGATAATTTAAAAAAGGCAAGTAACAGTTGCTTGAGACAAGTAGATCTTAAAAGTTTTTCCCCGTGCTTTCCCATACAAGTACATTCTTGAAACAAGAAAAATCTGAGAAGTTTAAATTAAAAAAATATTGTTAGAATTACAGGCTGCCCAATATTGAGAAGAAGAGCTCCTTCTTACCATTTTCCCAGATCTATAGGATGCAAAGCACGACCAGTGCAGAGTCTAGAAGTAAAAATAAATACAATTTAATAGGAGACAGGAATGCAAGGTGATTAAAGGCAGTATGACCAACTGAAGATAATAGCATGTTACTGTAATAGCATGCTAATCACTCTTTTGCATGCATTCTTTTCCCAGGAATACATTAGAATTTCGTAGGTTTGCCATAATATAGAATAAAAATTCCAAATTTTCATGAAGTAGAAGTAGACTTTCTGTTCTGTTCCACCTTTTTGTATCTCTGATAGTACTCTACATTTCTCTAATCTGCTTAAAACATTATTCATATTTGTGAGAGTTCTGTTTTTGTAATGGTATTCTTTTTTCTTAATGGTATAAAATCAATACGAAATGCTGATCTGACCATGGAATAATCTGTTTCACCTCCCTCCATAGTCTTTTTTACAGGATAAAAAATACTGTTCATAGTAGAGATAAAAGAAAGATAAAAGGAGCTGGCCATTGTCTTTTAAAAACAGAGGAAGTTATTAAAATTGTCTTTGGAAATTAGTATTGTTTGTTTTACAGTTAATAGGACAATGAAGGAAAAAGAACTGCTTCAATGATCTTGATTTTTACTACTTTTTTTTAACTTGGCTATTACAGGAGAAAACACCATACCTGGACATAAGCTTTTATGCTGTATTTTCCTTGTAGCACTCCACAAGTATTTATATCTGTACATATATTACTTAATGGAATATTCCTGCTTCTTATCAATTGCCTCTGTAGTTTTTGTGCTTGATAGAATGCGTTATGAGTAATATAGCTTGAAACTTAAATACTAATTTAAACCTTTTTTTGTTCTTCATTGTTAAACTTGTCTTTCTAATACCAAAAAAAATTATTGAAGACAAAATACTGTTAAATACATGAAATTAAAAATCTCTAAACGTTGTTAACATTGCACTAAGTATAGCTACTGGCAAGAGCCTTGAATAAATATTCACACTTTTAGAGAAGACAGAATAGTAAGACTGTAAAATCTCATGGCGATAGTGTCATTAGATAGTTTACAGAAAACAGAAGGAAAAGCCTCATACTGCAGATAAATATCCATTTTAAGCAGAGCACCCAAAATTAGCAGTCACCTGTGAAAATACCTACCAAATTGCAAACACTTCTGGAAACAACTGTTGGCATATGCTAGGTATTTGCGATGGTGTGGTCCACATGTCCGGCC